GCAAAAACATTGGCTAGGTTTCTCTTCCCACCTTCTGTTCAGCTTGGTAAATGACAGGTTGTCTTCACCTCATTGATCAGTGCAGTTACCCCAACATCTCTAGCACCCCCAACACCTTTTAACAGGAGCTGCCTTTCCCCTTGGGACCGCTCATTGTGGAACCAGGTTGAAATGAGGACTTGCCCTCCTGTATTAATTATGGAGCTCAGTAGCACTTTCTGTTTCTGCCTGTAAAACCAAAGCTATGGCAATTTCATAATTTTGAAGATGGTGGTGGGGTGGGGAGAGGAGCAGCTGGCATAAGCATAACTGTCACCACTTGGTGACTCACCGGCTGGCACCAGTGCCATGCCTTTTCCTATTTACCAGGCCCTTCATGAGGACCTCCTGTCCATCACAAGGTCCTCTACCCAGAAGAAAGAACCCTTCCTCCAACTCTGAACAGCCTCTGGGGGAATCTGAGACCTCCCTCCACCCTGTGTTGACATGCTGGTGGGCAAGCTTGCCCACTTATATAACTCTGGATTTGATGCTCAACTCTCCCGCTGCTGCTTTTTTAAATCCCAAAGGGGGAAAAGCCCTAACCAAACACAACAGTAAACAAGTCTGCACTGTTTAATGTGGTTACCACCAGACATCTGGAAAGATGGTTTGATCCTGGCAGCTCACATTGTTTTCACGAGCAGCCAAAGAGAATATTTCGAATGTTTGCATTGAGACAAATTGATAGAGAGCCTGTGGTGAGGCCTGCTGCAAATGAAAACTGTCCCAGAGTTGGGAAAGGGGGGACCCTTGCCCTCTCCTCTCCCTCCCTGTCTCTCCTCACCCCACTTCTTCCCCTTCGCTCTCCCCTTTCCTCCCTGCTTGTCTCCTCCTGGCCTAACCAGGGACTGCTTACTTACCCAGCCCACACACTTGCACACACCCTCTTTGCTGGCCTAGGAAGACTGTTCCGCCTCTCCCTTTCCCAGACTGGGCAAGGCTGCTGACCAGGAGCTGGTGCTGGCTACCACCGGCGCCCAGTCCACCAGCCCGGCTGCCTTTCAGGTCAGGGGAAGCTCACAACCAACAAAGCCGGTGCAGCGTTTAAAACAAAAGCTACCAGCTGGGGAGGAGGGGTACCGACAAAACAGACCACCTCACATGTCTAAGTCTAGGGTCATTTATGGAAAGCATGCATATGGGGGGCGGGGGGAGTCAGTAAACATGAGGATTTGGAGCATTTTTATTAGAACCTTGGTGAGATGACTTGCCTCGCACCCTCCAAAACTGACAATATTTTCACAGATGCGGAAGTCCTGCTTCCCCCGGGAGGGGAGCGGCGGGGGTGAAACGTCTCTTGGCTCGCTCTGTGTCAGCCCTTTTGACCCGGTCAAGACTTTCCAGACGCAGCTTCCCGGGCTTCTCCGGACTTAGCCCGAGCTGGGGATGGGAGGACGCGACAACCGGAGCTGGGTCCCTGGGGTGCCTTCGGACTGTGAGACGGTCGGGTCACTTGAAACCCCGAGTGATGCCGGCCTGGCCGAGCGACGCCGGGCCCAGCCGAGCGTCCCAGGCAGATCCTCCCCCTGCGTCCTCCCTCCTCCCCTCCCCTCCCTTCTAGCGGCGCAGCGGGTATTCGAGCTGGCAGGGAGGTGGGGGCGGGGGGGCGGGGGAGGGATGGGCGAGCGAGCGCCAAAACTCCAGACTGCACAACTGCAGCTTCAAGTGTCTAGCCCCTCGCTCGAGGCCATAATTAATTTGAGATTTATTTTTATTGGAGAACTCGAGTCTCGTCTGACCTTAGCCAAACAAGGCAGCTCGAGCCGCCCCTGGATGCGCTTGAATGCCGGGGCATATTTCTGCAGGAAGGCTCTGCAGGCGCGCCTGCTTTGAATTTGTTTCTCAGACTTCATCTACTCGCAGTTGAGGGAAGATTTAGAGCCTCTGCTCGCCCTGCCCGCTCCCGGCGCTCGTTCCTGCCGGAGCGCCAAGGGGGTTCCTAATGCTACGTGGGGGGCCAGGCGGCGGGAGGCCGGGGGCGGGCCTGGGAGGGGAGGGTCTCTGCGCCCAAGCCCCAGCGCTCCAGGCCGGGTCCCCAGACCACGCGGCGTCGAGGAGGAAACCCCAAGGGAGCCCGAGGTTGACCAAAGAGCGCAGACTGACGAGCGGTGGAGACCATCCAGGGGCCGGGACCCTCACCCTGCGGCGGCGTCTAGTTGCGGGCCTTGGTGGGGAGGGAGGCTCTCAGCTTTTCCATCTGCCCTGCCTCCCAACCGCCCCAAACAGCCTTCATTCTAAGTATAGACCTGTGTCCTTGAAATGGCGCTTCAGGACCTGCGGGCCAGATGCTGCCACTGGGCCGGTCTCCGCGAACATTCTGGGGCTCCCAGCTTCCTTTCTCTGGTGGTGGTGGGATTGTCTGGCCTAGAAGCAGCGTGGGCTGAGCCTCGCAGGCAGGTTGGTGAGGGAGCCAGGGCAAGGGGTCTGGAGCACTCATAAGGACCCTGCCAGTCTCGCGTGGCGTGGGAAAGGCACCTTCAAGAAGTGCCCTGCGCGCTGGGGGTTGGCATGTACTTTGCATCGTGCTGGCACCGCGTGTGAACGCTTAGGATTACTCCACCAGGTGTCCTGTGCCCTCCACTCCTTGTCTGCCAGCGGAACGTCCAGGTCGGACGTTCTCATTGGGAGATCCGGCTCCTTGGATTTGAATTCTGCCTCTGCACTTACAAGCTCTGTGGCTTTGAACTAGTTTCTTAACCTCTCTGTGCCTCAGAGTCCTCGTCTATACGTCGGCGTTATAATAGGACCTACCTCATAGGGCTGTTGTAAAGATGGAATGAATGTTGAGAACGTGCCTGGCAGTCAGCAACACGTTGCCCCTATTATTTGTATCTTGGCTCTGCCTCTTACAAACGGTGTCACTCCAACCTCTCAATGCCTTAGTTTTCCATTTGCAAGCTGAACTTCTCTTAGGGTTGTGATCAATATTACACCAGAAGCACCGATACCATGCAAGGGCCTGGCAAAGGCGAGGGCTATCTACACGATGCCACCATGATTCACTTACTGCACGCCAGGTCTTAAAGAGTCACCCATATTCCCTCTGTCCCTTTCCCTCTCTCTTCGCATCCTCACATCTGCCCTCAGCGCACTCTCCTCCCAGTGCCTCCCAGGGAACTCTGTGGGTTCTCAGCACCGGGTCGCTGCCTGGGGGCGGTGGGCACCCCTTGGCTCCTGTGCCCCGGCGCCGGCCCGCGGTGTTTGTCAGTAACCTGGGAGCGGACCGGCAGGGGCTTGGCAGCCGGGGACTGTTTGTGCCCCTCTGGCAACTGGTCGGCGCAGGGAGCCGGCGGAACAGACCCAAGATTGTCCCAGCCACGCAGCCCTTTCACCGTCATCAATGCACCCCTTTGTGCAACAATACAAACTTTGTGGCTGCTTGAAAAATCCATTTTTTTCCCCTTTAAAAGAGCTCCTGCGAAGAGCGGCTTCTGGGGCGGCCCACAGCTCTCCGACCCCACCTCCTTCTCCCCGAACCGACCGCGCCCCCATCCCCCATGCCCCCCAACGGTTTGCTTTCTCTCCAACTGTCGGCCTGGTTTGGGCTCCTGGACTCTCACTCGCCCCTCTAGAATGGGTCATCCTTGAGGTTTTGGGTCCCCGGGTGTGTGCAGACTCGGGGGTCCGTGTGGGTGGGAGAGACTCTGGGGTCTGCAGCCCTGAGGCCAAGCTGAAAGCGAGAGCTCCTTAGCTGGGTTCCCAGTTCTAGGGGGTGGGGTGGAGGAGGGTGGGCTGAGGGGTTACTGAGAACCCGAGCGCGCCCCAGTCTGTGTGTGCTCTGCCCCCTCCTGGGAGCCCTCCGTCCATCCATCCATTCCTTTACTGATAATTGACACATTGGTTCACTTATTTTTTCATTCATTCATCGCTGATTAAACACTCCTTCCCAGCCAAGCCTCCAGAACTCGGCTTCCCCACAGTGACTACAGACTTCCACAGACCGAAGGTGGGGGAATGGGGAGGGGGGAGAAAGGGGAGTGCGCCTCGTTGCAGGCTACCGTGTGTCAACGAATTTCCCTTTAGAGGAATGGGAGGAGGAATGGACGCATATTTGGCACTCCCAGGATGAAACCGAGAGTCGGCGCCCCAACGCTGTGGCCACATGCTCACATTGAGAGCACACCACCTAGGCATTCCCAGACCCGTGTCACTGGGGGGTGGGGGCCACTCCGGGGCGGGGTTCGAGAAAGAGGGCGGGGCCGGGACCAAATGGAAGTAGCAGCGCTTTTCAGAACTTGGCCGGCCCTCCCTCCTCCCCACGGGTCCCGCGCTCCGGGAGGCTCCCCTGGGCAGCGCGAGGACCTCGCCGCATCCCCACGCGGGGCAGCGCCGCCGGGTCCGCACCTTCGGCCCCGCCTCACTGGCCGAGTTTCATTAAACGTGTGACCCAGATGTCCTGGCCTCGTTTTGTTTACATTCTTGGGAACTGTTGTGGAAAAGAAAAAAAATCCTTCGATTTGCTGTCAAATAGCAATCTGCGCCTTTGAGGGGGTGGGGTGGGGTGGGGCCGAGGAAGGTGGGCTTTCGGGCGAGGTTGGGGGTGTCGAGCCGGGAAGAGAGGCGCGTCGCGCTTGCACACCCGCGCACACTCACGCCCTCACGCAGACCCCGAACGCGGAGACACTGCCGTGCTCCAGGCGGGAGCGCACACCCTGTGGGTCCCCACGCCGGACTGCGGGTCCGGGCGCCGCCATCTCGGCTTCCCCGAAGAGCCTTCACCCGGCTCACCTAAGTCAGAGGCGGTCAAGAGTGTTTCTCCTCAACCAAGGATTCCCGAGGGTCTGCGCCACCCCCGTCTGGTCCGAGCGTCCCGATCTCAGAGCCACCAGCTGACAGTGGGGACTGATTCTCCCCGCCACCACCTTTTCCCGGGGAAAGGGTAGGGGGAAGGGACCACAAGCCGGGGGTACTCAGGCGCTGGGAGTTATTACCTGTTTAAAGACGCAGTCTGGTCTTACCTTGACGTAAGACGACGTGTCGGGGACTGTCTGAAACATCCTGTGTTGGTGAGGACGGGTCGGGAAGGCCCCAGAAACAACCTGGGGAGGAGAAACCTGGGTCACTCGCAAGTGGAGCACGGGTGAGACGGTGGGGGTGGGGGTGACGAAGGGGGAATGCAAAGGGAGAGGACCTTAGAGCTGGGGGCCTCCAAGCCTCCTGGATCAGCCAGGGGGGCTCTGAGTGGTCAGGTACCAGGAGCCCTCCCCGCGCCCGTCCCGGGCTTCAGGCTAAGGGATGGTGAAGACTGAGAACCAGCTCACACTTCTGGGTCTGTTCCCTACTTTCCTGCAACCCTCCTCTGCCCCAAATCTGAGACACCTATCTCCCTCGAGGCCTGGGTGGTTTCACATCTGGGGACATCGGAGTCCGTCCTGGCGGGAGAAGAGAATGCGGCCAGGATGGAGGTAGGTTGACCCACAGACGCAGGCCGAGGCCCCAGGGGACGGATATTTACAGAGCAGATAGCGCCGGGGCCCTTGGAGCACAGGCCTCCTCCGGACTCCCCCGCCACCCCTCGGACGCCTCCCTCCTCCCCGCCAAGGGACTGCTTAGGAGGACTGGCTGAAGGTTTCGGAGCTCGACCGAGACCCCTTTCCCAGAGTCCCCGCTTCCAAAAGAAAACAGGTTTGCAGGCAGAAGCAAAGACAATGAGTGACGCGGCCTCATCTTTGCTGGCAGGGAGATAGTGTTCGCGGTCTGAACTTCAGGGCCGGAGGGCGCACAACTACCCCAGAATGCCAGGTGTCTCTGCGGGCGTCTCTCCCTGCCTTGCCCAGTCTGGCGACTGGCCCTCTTCCTTCCTTCTCTTAAACCGTCTTCAACGTGGCAGCGCGCAGCTCCACCGGCAGCCAATGTGTTTCTGATAAAGCACTTTTCTCCCCACTAACAAATTCCAGCTTCTTGGCTCCTGAAGCCACAACACACACACGAGTTCAGGGACCAGGTACGTTTCTCCGGGGCTCCTAGATTCACTACCATCCACTACCTCTTCCCCTGGCGCCCTTGCTCCGAAGTCTCCCCCATTTTCTTAGAGAGAAATTTGCAAGAAAAGAGAGGGAGGGGGGTAAAGGGAGAGAAGAAGAAAGCCCCGGAGAGACCGAAAGAGCCCCAGAAAGCGTCGCGTTTCCTGAGTGCAACTGGAGCAGGCAGCAGGGCAGAGAGGGGCGCCCGGAGCCGCAGCACCCCCCCCCCCCCAGACATCCCACACAAACGAACACTCACCTTAGACACCCTGTCCTGCTAAGCAAGCAGGAGCGGGACTCCGGCAAGGCCAGGATGTGCAAGTTCTTGGTGCGAATTCTCCGTACCGAGCCCCGACGGTTGGTAGTGCGGAATCAGACCTGCTGGCTGCCTGGAGTCAAAGTTCCACTTTCTCTCCGGAGCATCCAGAGCAGCGGCCGCGGCCTCTGCACGCCCTGGGGGGGCTGGAGGAACACTCAAGCTCGTGCGACCTGCAACTTGCCTCTCCACCGCCTCACTCCAGCTCCCTCTGTCCCACTCCCTCTTCCTCTCTCTTTTCCCGTCTTTTAATTTGATTTCCGTTTTCTTATCAATATTTCAACTGCTGTCTGATGAATTGTTTTATAGACAGCCACCCATCTGCCCCCAGCTGCTTTTCCAGAAACCTCCCTGTGTTACTAGGAAATGTCAAGGAACACTGGAAACCACACACACACATCATAAATGTAGAGACTGCTCTGTTGAGCCCAGGGGACCCTGGAGACCCAGGCCTTCTTGAAGCTGATAATTTAGTTTCAACTGATGGCTATGCAAATGATTACTCCTCAGACCTAAACAAGGTGAGTGAAGTCTTTGATTTCTCAGGCCTTTAAGTGTTTTTTTGTTTTGTTTTGTTTTTTTTGTTTTTGTTTTTCTACTTAGACGTCATCCCTTTCCTTTATTTGGTCCTCCCCGGGAGTTCACCTCCTCTGACCCATTTTCTAGGCAGCATCTAGAAGTCAGACGCGGATTGCAAACGTCAGAGCAACAACCTATTAGGGGGTTTTCATGAAAAAGCACACACATTTCAGAACACTCTTGCTTCGGAGTCACCTCTGGGTCCTCATATTTGTATTTTCCTGAATCGGGAAGATTGCCTATTTCTTCTGTGTCCAGGTGTCCGCGGCCACGCTCACCTGCCCCCTTTCAGTTGCCGGATCCCGAGGCAGACCTGGCCTTGGTTGTTTTCACACCCCTCGCAGCCTCTCCAGAGCTTCCCGTAACTGGGACCTGCTGGCTCACCAGGCCCCTGCCCAGAACAACAGATGAACTTGGAGGTGGAGAGAGGGAATCGGAGGTGACAGGTGAGAGCAGAGCTGGGAGCGTGTCCGTTTGCTCCCTGATGGCTTTGTGTGCCTCTGAGAACTGGCCTGTTTCCTTTTCTTTGCTGGGTACCTAGATTGCTGCCTACTTTGGTTCTGGGCACTGAGAAAATTCATTTAGTACTTGTTCCCTCTTCTTTGCACGCCCCCCCCCCCCCTTTCCCCAACTGCCTCTGGAGATTTCTGACCAAAAGGCAATTGTTAGAATTCCATTTCTGGAGAACGCACACTTATCACCCAGATCTCCCCACGTGGGGGGTATGGGGACTGGCGGCAGGGTTATTCATTATTTCCTTCGCAACAATATCCCGATTTTTCTCTCTGTCCCTCCCCCAAAGCTCAACATATTGAAACATTTTGCTGCTTAATAAGAGCAGCCAGGAGAGCTAGGAGGTGAAAGGCCAGCCTGGGACCGTGACTGGGGCTGCCTAGGCTTGGCGCTGATGGCCAGGCTGCCCCCGCCCAGCACATTCCTGACGATTGCTTAGGAAAACAAGCCCGGCTTGGCCAGGGGAAGGGGCTGCTGCACCAGAGCCATCGCCTTCGTATTTTTATTCTCAGAGAGAGAGTCTTCCTTCCTAAGAACAAACACACGATTCCAAACAACCACAGTAAAACAGAAGGTGCCCCTGTATCCCACATTACATCCTCCAGCACTTCAAACAGGTTCTTTTCAGGAAAGGTGGAGATTTGAAAATGAGGGCTTCAACTATACTAGAGGAGGTGAGCATCAAACAATTGTCTAAGTAATAATTTAGCATCCAGATTAAGCTGTTCTCTGGTTGGCCCTTCCTTCATATCCCGCCCCCCTTTCGTCCCTCCCTCCCTCCCTTCTTCTCTCTCTCCTCCTTCTTTCCTTTCTTCCTGCTTCCCTACTTTCTTTCTTCCTCTTTTTTTTTTTTTTTTGAAGGGGATTTCTAAGAGATCACTTGAGTACCTTCTTCTAGATGTTTAACTCTTCCTTCTTTATGTCTTCACAGTTGTTATCACCTCCTTTCTTGTAGACGTAGCTAAGTTTTCTCTCCCTTCATTAGATTGTAAGCTCCCTGAAGGCAGAAGTTGAGTTTGTTTTGTTCATGGCTGGGTACCCGGTGTCTACACTGAAATTGACAGGCACAGAAGAGGACTGATTATTTAGCAACATCCCTCTTTTTTTGAAATAAGGAAAGAAGAGAATACAAGATAAACAAAACCAAATTAAGGAAAATTTCACTTTACTGATACTGGTTCATTTTCTGCTTTTCAGGCTTACATGAAATCAGTGCTCATGTGTGGCCTTCATTTTTACCTAAAGGGATTAACCGGGGAGCCTGAGATAAACCCTCCCCCACAAGCACTCTGGGTGTGGTCAGCTGACAGAGGTGTCCAGTGTCCGGGTTCTGTACCAAACTCTTCGTATGTGTGTGTGTGTGGTGTGCACGTGTGTGTGTGTGTGTGTGTGTTCTATTTCCTACTTTTCCTGTAATTTCAAGCATCAGAATGGGTAGTCATTCCAAGGGTCACACAAATAATAAAATCTTGGTGGTCCCAGGAAAACGAATGAGCTGAGACTGAAGTGCGGAATAATGTGGAGTCCCTCTCAGATGGGGTTTCAGAGCTGGACATAGGCCTGGAAGCCTGCCTTGTCTGTGCCTGTGTGGGAGGAAGGACGGGTTGTGGATGCCCACTGGGCAGGGGCCGATAGCCCTGCCCACCATGTCTGGGAGCAGGGTTGGGTGAGAGTAGGAACTAGGCTAACTCATTCTCTAGGGGGATACAACCAACTCTCTTTGTCACCTGAAGCTTTCAATTTGCCAGAAGAAAATTGCTGAAATTGGTAACAGCTGCCATAAGGAGCAGCATAAAAGGGGAGGATGGGGGGAAAGGGGCAGGAAGACGCATTAAAGCCAGCTTATCTATCCAACTGTTTCCAAAAGGAGACAGGGCGAAGGCTTTCTTGCTCCATAGTTATTGCTCCTTCACCATCCTCTACCAAGCTGTTTCCTTGTGCCATAGATGTGCAGTGACCCTCCTGTGGAGTTTAGGAGAACAGGAGATTGTATCCAAGAAAGGATCCCAGTAGGGAAGCAGGGGAAGATGTCTGGGTGGTGCCACTCTGGGTTGCTCAGGGGTCCTGTGATTCTAAGCGAGACAGTTAGGACTCAGCTTCCTTATCTGGCCAATGAGATCACCGGGAGACACACACCAATCAGAGCATTCCATAATCCTGTGAGGCTATTTAACCTGGGAAAGGATGTGAATCAACGGAACATTAATGTCCTAGGGTTAGACACTTCGGGTTACAGTCTTGGTTCTGCTCATGATGACTGGATAGGACTGAACTGTGTCCTCCTAAAGTTTTTATCTTACAGATTTCACCATAGTACTTTAGAATGTGACTGTATTTAGAGATAAGGTCTTTAAAGAGATAAATAAGCTAAAATGCATGGGCCCTAATGCAATGTGACTCCTTATAAGAAGAGGAGATCAGGACACAGAAATGTGGAAGCACAGAGGAAGACCAGAAGGGGCACAGTGAGGAGTTGGCCACTGTTAGCCAAGGAGAGAGGCCCTGGGCGAAGCCCACCCTGCTGCCAGTTTGATCTTGGATGTCTGGTCTCCAGAACTGTGAGGAAATAAACATCTATCACTTAAATATCACTCAGTATTATTTTATTTTATGATGGAAGCCCCAACAAAAGAATATATCCGAGATGCAGTATTTTACCATGACTTAGTTTCTCCAAGCGAGTAAAAGGAAACTGACAGAGCTGACCCACTTCACTCAATGCTCCTAGAAGCTGCTGTGACTGTCTGCCCTGTGGTCACGATGTTTTTGGCCATGTGTGGCCTTGTGTGTAAAGCAGCTCCCCTGTGTGGGTTCTCTCCAGCCCAAGGAAGGTCCCAAGCTGCACTGAGTTTCAGCCTCTCTGGGTTTCCCATTCTTTCTGCTGCTCATGATGGGAAAGGAAGGAAGTTGCTTCCTGTTCTTCCAACAAGCAATTTCTGATTTCATAGGGCAGCCAACAAGATGTCACACTCCTTATCTCTCATTATCTGTGTGCCCCTGTAGCCCTGACAGGCTGCAAACCTAGATTGAGCTCCTGGAAATTACAAAGAAAGCAGAGTGCGAAATCTGCTCAGAGAGATAAGTCCAGGAAATAGAGGTAGTGAGCAGAACAGGGTCCATGAGAAAGATGAGCCATCAGACCCGGCTCTTTAGATTCCAACATGTGTGTGACCTGGTTAGTCCTTTGAGTCCCATCACATAACACACACACACACACACACACACACACACACACACACACACACACTCATACATATCCTCAGTGTACACAGGCTCTTAGGGTGGGTAGTACAACATGCAAAATTGGGAGAATTCAGAGTGAGACTGAAAACTACTGGGGCAAGAGATTTGCAATCCAAACAAGAGTAAGAGACAGGGCCTCCCTGAAGCTAACAGATTCACCCTTAACCCCATCCATAAATAAAAATATGCCAAGTTCCCCCGGACTGGGGAGGAAGACGTGAGGAAACTAGAGAATGAATGAGACTATGTGTTAAGGCAAAAAGGAGCTCTTAAAACCAAAGATTTCAATATACTTTGTATCCATTCCTCCAACTTCTTTAGCCAGTTTTTTTTTTTTTTAGATGAAAAGACATTTTATTATTTTACTATATGATATATTTGTGAATTACCTGATTGCATTTTCTCAAATGGTAAATGAGACTCAAAGCAACATTTCTCTTTCATTACTGAAAACCTCAATATCACCTGTCTTTTGGAGGATTCATTTTCTTACTGCATCTATGATACTGTCTATGAGGATACCAATGGTGCTTCGTAGTAAAGAACATTTTGCTAAAGTTGTTTTATCGTGGCTTCTTGCTCAAAGTGTTCCTCTTTTTTTCCTAATCTAGTTTTCAGCATTTGCTCCTATGTTTCTTCATGATTATGCATAGGATCTGGCAGAGGGACAGGTGTGTTCATGTAGCGTGTCCACAGAAGGATGGTAGCAAACTGTTGTCTTGCCATCAGATGTCAAAGAAAACTCTGCTTTGCAATCATAGTCATCTAGAAGAGAAGAACACATGGATTTGTGACAAACACGATACAAAGCTCTATTTTGAATCGGAAATAAATGCTTCACGACAGTTCTG